GGTGTATTATTAGGTTTGCGCAGCGAACTTTTCAGGCTAGTGTCAGTGGGTCTTTGGAATCATCTTTTTGTCTAGGCGGTAGGCCAAAATAATGCTGTTGCTGTAAAACATGCAACGAACTAGTGCACTTATTTATTTTTCGAGAAAACTTATGCTAACGCAGAGAAATAACAATGTAGCATTCTCTTATGCGCTTCCGGGATCCATCAATCATGGCGTTGGAGCACGTGGTGGCGCGCATGGATCACTACCACATCGTTGATATGCATTTTGAGTCTTTTGCACCCGCTAGAAAAAACTAGCGCCATGCACTACTTTTTATTGCTGCGAGCACTGTACTTTGTTCGAAACGACGGTTCATCAGCGTCAGTCTTTTTTTATCCGTTTCTCCATGAAGACCTCTTCAAGACTTTGCACAAACTTCTGTTCTCTGTGATTTGTATCCATCTTGGGCAAAATAACTACTTCAGCTCGTCCTATCTTCGATTTGGAGATGTTACTACGTACGTTTTACTCTCTCTTCGAAGCCGGTCTAATGTTTCTCTAATGAAGGGGATGGGGCTGATGATTGGTTCTTCTTGCAGCGTAGTCTGACTAATCCTTCTTTAGCTTCTTCGCTCAGGTAATGGCTATAAAGACTTATTTATGTTCTTATCATGTCATTCGTCTTTCTGTTCTCAGTGCACGTCATTCAATGCTTCGTTTTGTAGTCGGCAGTTTTTCAATAGCTTTCAGCTTTAGAGCCACGTTTCGCACCCTAGATTAGCATCTGTAGTACACATTGATCGAAAACTGCTGCAGGCGTGAAGTCAGGTTTTTCGGATAAGACCATTTCCAGTCTTTCGGAAGGTGTCCCGATACAGTAGCTGCAAGATTGTAATCTCTCCATCCTCCATCCTTCCATATGACACAGCGTATTTGCTTCCGTTTTTCCTTTGAAGATAGGACCACGATGCCTGGATTTCTATACTTCTTGTTCATTGTATAATAATAATGTTGCCTCTGTTCGAAGTGGCATGCTGGCACAATTGTCTAAGAGATTTGCTTCGAACTTTGGAGGTGCCGTGTACGATTCCGCTCGCAGTCTTTATCTTATTCACGAATTCCCTTGAGCAGTGAATTTGCCACATTTTTTCTGACCGAGGTTGGTCTGTCGATCGAGCGTCGAACTCGGAACCGATGGTGCTGAATTCAAGCCCCTGTCGGGAACATTCTCCCTTCGTCCTTACAAAATTGATATGTGAGTATCACTCCATGAGAAGGAAACAGAAGATTACATGTCACTTTTACCATATGGCTGTAGACTCTCTCTTTAAAAACTAGGCATTCCTGGCTATGGCGTAGAGACGGAGATCAGCACCACGCCTCCATCCTCAAGGAAGGGAAAGTGTCAAAATTGCCAAGGCACGACAGTTTTTCGACAATCGGTTCGAAATGAAAACCGACATTCCAGCAGTGGCTAACTTCCTTCCTTTCTGGTCATATGGTAGGTCTGAATGTAAAATTTTAAGATTCTGCATATGTATCGATATATAACTTTCTATCTATAGTTTTAAATGTATTTGTTACCTTTAAAGGCTGTAAAGTTTCAAAATGACGGAGAAGCAACTGGAACAGATGAAATCCGGCTTTAGAATCTTGAGACACTTTGAAACGAAGGCACAATGTGGCCAACAGGTGTCTGTCAAACTGCGCACGTTGCGAGAGAACCTCAAGAGTGGAGGACAGAATAATATTACTTCTTTTCGAAAAGAGAAGACCAGAAAGAATGTTCTTTAAATTGCGGCATAGCTTTACTGGGCTTTTCTGGGAAAGTATATGCGACGATGTTAGAAAGAAAATGCTGGCAGATACTGGTATCCAGCATACGAGAAGAACATTAAGGCGTTCATGCCAGTAGAAGCACAGC